TGGTTTTGTAGGATTTTTTTTTCACTTTTCATGTTTTCCCCAGAACTGGTATCATGCTTTCATTTGCCATGGTTGGATCACACTTAGACAAACCCTGGCTGACCATGAGATAGATTTGAAGTATTCATGGACCAAAAATTCCCTTCTCTCAAGCCAGCACAGTCACATTTGTGTCTTTCAAGGATGTCTGCATAGATTTATTATTTAAACATCCCTCCTAGATTCCTCACAGCACTGGCAGAGGAAAATCTCCTGGCTTTGCCCTGGGGACTGCAACACCTTTGCCATGTTTCTGTTGCAGATGGAGATGGACATTTTGGCCATTAACCTAATAAGACCAAAGCAAAAGAGCTGCCAGTATTTCTACAGGCTCTGCAGCAGCTGCTGTCTTCCAGGCCAGAAGGGATCTTCCCCTGTGAGAGCTGTAGGTGTAGAGTGGTTGTGCTGAACCTCAGTTCTGCTAGGAAATAACACAGGCTGGAGAAGACTGAAGTCTGGGCTGAAGTTGTAGGTTTTCCTGAACAGAACTGCAGAAGCAACCAGTGCAGTTGGCCACGTGGTAGCTCAGAGTAGTCAGTGGCCAGATGTGTCAGATTCCACCAAATCTGAGAGGATTTGTACCTACAGAGGCATAACTGAGCTCTCCTTGGACACCAGAGATGTTTACAGCCTCCATGGATGGCTCCCAGAGAGAGCTGTCAGTGGAGCTGGGTTTGCTCTTTTCATCCCTGGTTCTGTTAGTATTTGGGGAATAGGGCAGAAATTCTTGTTTTGGCCTCTTTGCTCTCTGCCAGGGTGATGCTCTGAGTGCCAGCAGACAGAGAGGGGCACTTCTCCTCCCCTGTGCTCAGGTGTTTCTTTCACATAGGTGGAGAGTGACCCAGGGGAGACTTGTGCAGCTAAGAGGGTTCACCTTCAAGCTGCTCTGAGCTCTGAACCATCAGCAGCATTTCAGCAAGACATCTAAACATTGCACTGTAAACCACAGGACAGAGTCTCAGTTTCATCCCAGGTTCTGATCTACCTGTGGAGGGAGTTTGGCAGGAGCATCCCTGGAAAACAATAGCCTCAAATGGCCACAAAACCATTTTTAGTACATTTGTACTTAGGAAAACAAACAGCCAACATTCAAACAGGACCATAATGGCATATTTGTCCTTACATTGCTCCCATGCCATTTTGTAATCTACCCCAGAGCTGCTCTGGAAGAGCAGACAAACCTTCCAAAATGATGCAAATCTTTCATCTGCTCTGCACTGATGCTTCTGCTCCAAAGCAGAGAAGATGGATAAGGGAGCTGGAGCCTTTCAGTCATTCTGTTTGGCTGCACCAGTGAGCAGTACATCCCAGATGAAGTGTCCACTGCCACTTCAGCACCATGTCTTTAGAAACCACAGTGATTTTTTGGGGCATCAGTTAAGGAGCTGTGCTCCTTTTTTCTAGGACCAGCTGCTTTAATCCAACCATTTGCTACCAATTTGCACAGATTTTCTGCAGTCTTGATGGATCAAGCCAGAGTGATGCCAGCAGCCTGCTGGAATCTCTGCTCTCTGCAGACCCCCCCAGCAGAGCAGAACCTGTTGATGGTTCTTCTGTCACAACCTTGTCCATTATTTATGCTGATCATTTTGGGGAGCAGAGGTAGATGCATATGAAAGGGGGAATGTGTATGAAAGTGTTTTCCAGGAGGGAAACCAGTCTGAGGGTGGTTGGTTGTTCTCTCCTGAGATGATGCTGTGCTGCCAGGCAAGCTGGCCCCCTTCCCTTCTGCCTCAGCTTCTGTGCTGCCAAGAGATTTTTCCAAGACAATCTCATTTACCAGCCAGCATGAAGAAAGCAATGGGGGCTGAGTTTTCAGATCTAAGTCAAATTTAAAGTGCTGTCAAATAAAGAAGAAAAACTCTTCAACATCATTTGATACTAAACCCTAAGTGCTTTCAGCTGGAATCATGGGGAGTGCAAATATGGAATCCCTCAATGCCAATTTTTCTTAGTCTCTCCTCTGATTACAGCTGCACTTTTGTGTTCTCCCCTGGGACAGACCTCAGGGAAGCTGGGCACGGTGTAGGAAACACAACCAGACTGCAGGAGCAGGAGTCACAATCACAACATCATCCTTTCTGAAGTGAGAAAAGGAAGGAGGATTTACTCAGGGTCATTCCAGGGGGATTCTGATCAATGCTTATCAATATCTAAAGGGCAGGGGTCAAGAGGATGGAGCCAGACTTTTCTCAGTTGGGCCCAGAAACAGGCACAAACTGGAACCCAGGAGGTTCCATCTGAACAGGAGGAGAAAATTCTTTGGTGTGAGGGGGCAGAGCCTGGAGCAGCTGCCCAGAGAGGCTGTGGAGTCTCCTGCTCTGGAGAGATTCCAAACCCTCCTGGCTGTGACCCTGGGCACCCTGCTGTGGGTGAGCTGCTGGAGCAGGGGGTTGGATGAGATGATCTCCAGAGGTCCCTTCCAACCCCCCCATGCTGAGATTCTGTGATTCCCCAGGGCTTTATCAGAGGGAATTTGGCATTCTGCCCCCTGGGTTCTTGGGGCCATACTTAAGCTAACCATGGGGAGCTGAGGTACCTCTGAGCTGCTGAGTAATCCAAATTGCTCTAAAGTTTCAATGAACTGGGTCTGCAATTACCCTTCTCCTCTCTGCAGGGCGATGCCAACAGGTCAGACACAGATGAGGACAAGACATCTGCCAACTTTGATGATGATTTTGAGAAGCTGAAGGACCTCCGAGCAACAGGTAGAATTTTGCTTCTACATTTTCCTGGGAACCTGAGAGCTCTGCTTCCACAGCCACCTTTTATAGAAACTTACAGGGGGAAGTGGAAGAATCCATTTATTTGGCAATTAACCTGATTTCTGTGTTAACAGAGCAGCTATGCAAAAAGCCACCTCTGGGGGAAGGCTAAGTGAGCACTGATATTCCCTTTAAACAGATTTTTTTCTAATTTAAACTAAACTAGACTCCTTAGATAGGTCTCATCCTTTCTTCTGTATCATTAGCACAGAATGGTTTGCTGACAGCAATATTCTCACACGACTTCTCGACAGCTTTTCAAATCAATCATGTTCTCATCTGTTCTTTTTGGTTTCTCACCCAAAGGCATTTAGGTGAGGTTTGAAGGATGGAAATGTAGCTTTTCATTTGTGTCACAGGAGGGGCTGGCAGTTGATTTGAGGTAAGGCCACACGGTGCTACCAGATTAAAGGTGGAATAGTAGGGGACAGCCTCCACTCTGTGGAGTTTGCAGCCAGATGGGGGACAGGAAGGGATCACCTGTTTTAGCAGAGTGAGTAGCACAGTTCCAAACAGGAGCCACTTTAATTCCTCTGTGTTTGAGTCTCAGCTTGGGCTTTTGCTGGGATTACAGTAAATGCTTCTAAACCAGGATTCATTTCAGCTAAGGAAATTATCCTGATTGCAGTGAGCAGATGGAATTCAGCTGAGGAAGGGGCAGAAGTAATTTGCTGGGGAGGCTGAGGCAGAGCTGGATCACAGCAAGGTGAGGGAGCTGCTCAGTCTGCAGGTGAAGCATCAAAGGGATGGGATCAGTGTCCATTGAAAATAGTTGGCAAGGAACCCACAGCCCCAACTGTGCACCAGCTATTTTCTGGGCAGCTTCTAGGGGAAAGAAATAATGTCACCTCTTCCAGGTAATGCAGGCATAGAAAACAGGGCTGAGCTTGCCATCAGTCAAAGTCCATGGATAATTGTGTGTCTCCATAAGCCTCATAGGTGCCAGCAGTGCCTAAACAGCATAAGGACATGAACAAGTCTGTTAGGATGCTGTTGGTCTGTAAACAGATACCCTGGCAAGAGGAAGGTGTGTTGCAGATTGGCAAATTTGGAGCTGGATCTTCCACTGCTCCAAGTGGATGGCAGTGGGGTGGATCAGGTATTTGTGCCCAAGCCAGCAGCTGAAGAGATGAGCCAACAGAAGCACACTGCCTCACAAAAGCAGCAGGAGTAACACACTCCCTTGGATTTCTCACTGCAGACTTGTGCTTCTTTCCTGCTGGTCACAGATCCTTCCCCCTCCTTCAGTTCTGCAGTTACTCAACCAGAACCCACTAAGCCCAGTAAACCAGGGACTGGTTCAACTTCAGTGTTGGGTTTGAAATGAGGGGTTTGGGTTTGAGTATTACTGCACTCCATAGAGCTGGAGGTGTTAGGTCTGGCTCGTCTTCAGTGTGAATGTGGGGTTTGCAGTCAGTAAGTACTGGCTGTGCAGCTAAAGTAGATGTTTTCTGCAATTACCACAGAGATGTGCCATCAGTTTGCTCTGTTACAGGAGGCTTATTCTTCTAGATGGGTGGATGTGTAAAAGAAACTTCCATTTCCTATCTCCTCCACAGATGACTAAGGACAATGACTAATGTTTGCTTAGTGCCTTCCCCATGAAGAGACTTAGAGCACATCAGAACTGGACAAAAATCTCTGTGCAAGACTATGACAAAGAGAAGAGGACTAATTCCTAAGGGAATTTAGCCAGTCCTCAATGTCCTTTCCCTGGAAGCTCTCTCCCAAAACTGTAACTCCACACTCTAAATCCCAAGAAACAGTGAGCGAGAGGCAGTTCCTTTGGAGGGCCAGGAGTTGTGAGTCCAGAAGGTTGCTCTTAAAAGGTTGTGACCTTTGCCTCCTGCCTTTCAATGTGGTGGGTGGGTGTGACCTTCTTACTGCCCACATCTCATCTCTATTTGGCAGAGCTCCTGGAAGACAGAAGGAGCAATGTCCATTGTGAAGAGCGATTTCTGCCGCTGAGCATTCACCTGGTGTTGTCTCTCCCCTTCTCTCCAGAGATGAAGATGTACTCCCTTGCTGTCACCCCCAACGGGCACTTGGAGGGCAGGGGCAGCATGCCCCCCCCTATAATCATGCGCACTGCTGCCACACCAATGCCCACACCAAAGTGTTCCCCACACGTGGACTCCATGCACACGTTGGTGGACTCGAGGAGGGGCAGTAACGCTTCCCTGGATCCCCTGAGCTACGATCAGAAGTCCTTGGTAGGTTCCTGTTGCTACCAACTCCTTCAAGTACCTGCAAGGGTCACAGATTTTATATCTCTGTGTGTGTGTGTGCACGTTGCTGGGTGGTAAAGGTGAGAAGTCTGTGGAAAGGCAGAAGAACAGAGTCCAGGGGGAGGAATGAATGGATGTGCTATGCTGGGCCAGGACAGTGACAAGGTAAGGGCCAAGGACAGTGAGTATATGGAGAGAGGAGACAGGGCTGCACTGGGATTCAGTGTTTTCCTGCCTGGTATCCAGCTGGAAGTCCATGCCAAGCCACTGCAGAGCTGTGACCTGAGACATGTTGTAAGTTCAGGCAGTTCTTCCAGCAAACCCCTCTGAGGGGAGCAGGCACCTTTTGCCAGCCTCACTGGCCACTTTGTGGTATCTTGGAGAAGCTGTCAAGTGTTCCCATGAAGGTGAGGCCTGTTTCCTCCCCCCAGTGTTTTAGGATTGCCTCTTAAATCCACTTTGTGTGAAGGGAAATGAAGCATTTCCCCTTCCCAACCCAGCAGCTGAGCTCCAGTTCCAGGACAGCAGCTCTGCTGAAGGGGAAACAGAGGAAGGGAGGTATGAGCTGACCTACTGCCACGGGGCACAGCTCCCAGAGCAGAGATCTGGCTGGAGCTGACTGTTTTGGCAACTGATTGCATTTTGCCTTCAACGAGGAGGTGGGAGGGCAGCTCTGTGCAGAGTTAATAGACAAAGTGGATTTCTGCTGCTGCTTATCTGTCCCGTTCCTCTGCTCTGTAACTGCAATATCATGTTCAAATCAAGGCAGCAGACCGTGAAGGCACTTCACACAGACAGAGCCACTGGCCCCTGTGGTAAGCTGCTTAGTCAAGGTAATGCTTTTGAAAGGAAAATAGAGATGACTCTTGTTTGCCTTGGGGTTTCATGGGATTGTGAGTTGCTGGAGAGGGCGGTTCATCGTTTGAATCCTTTCTCTGAGAGCACATTAGTGCCACCAGCCAAAGGAAGATGAAGCAGTCAGAGGAGAGCTGGCCAGCACTGAGGAGGAGGAGGAGGAAGGCAGTTTGCCTCTGTTTGTGGTGGGGGGAAGCCGTGGAGGGAAAAGGAGTTCTCCTTCTAGCTTTTCTGCTCTGACCTTAAGTGCTCTCATCCTGGCAACTACCTACCCCTCATCCTGGCAACCACCTACCAGCCAAAGTGCACTGACACACCCAGCAGTGCCAGAAATCTGCTGTAAGAGAAGCAGTCGTTCCATCTCCTTCTGCAGCAAATTGAAGAGAAAGTAATGCAAGGAGGGGCACAATTTCCAACAGAAACTGGGGTGACTGGGGTCCCAGAACCTCCCTTGGGCTGAAACCGCTTGAACATGAGGAAAGCAAACACTGCTTCAGCAACAGTGTCTTTGGGTTCAGTTTAGCAATAGTGGTTTTGGGTTCAGTTTTCATGCAGAGTTAATGCTGCCAGGCCAGTAGGAAGTCGTGCAGCACAGAGGATTAGTAGCTGGGCTACAGGTGTAGTTCAAAGAGTATCTTCACTGTAGGCTTAGCTGGGTGCTTGGCTCCCATCTCAAGGCACTGGCATGATGAAATCAGAGCAGCAAGGAATGCTGGGAGGAGGAGACGTGACTCGCAACAAGAAGGGTCTTCCAATCTGGGCACAATGCCATCTCCTGGCATTTTTTTTTCCCCCTTCCTCCTGCAAACAAACCCTCAAATGCCTTTCTTCTCTCTCAGTCCAGCCTCCGCAGTTCCCCTTGTGCCAACTGGGGCACGGGCAGCAACTGGGGAAGCCGCCGCTCGAGCTGGAACAGCCTGGGCAGAGCCCCGAGCCTCAAGAAGAAGAACCAGTCAGGAGAAAGAGAATCCTTGCTCTCTGGGGAGGGAAAAGGCAGCACAGATGATGACTCTGACGACGCCAAGTCCAGCACGGTCAGCAGGCCCTCGCTGCACCGCCGGGCGGAGTCCCTGGACTACCGCAGCTCCCTGGACCTGCCCGAGCTGCTCCAGTTGCCCACCCCAGGGCACTCGTTCAGCCTCAGCCCCGTGGCCATCCTGCCCACGGAGTACCAAGACTGCAATGGCAAGCTGGTGCACGTGCCCAGCGAGCTCTTCCTGCGCCTCGATGGCCAGAAGGAGGACGCTGGGGACTACGAGGAGGACATGGAGGATGTGAGTTGAGGGGCACGTTGGGAAAAGGCATCTTAGTGGCTTTTTTCCCACTCCAGGAAGGCTGATTAAAAATCAGGCTTTGAAATGGGTTACTGCCTAATCGTAGACGAAATGAATCCAGGTTCAACAGATGGGCATCTGTTTCCCAAAAGACTTTTTGAGCTCATAGGTTGGGCTGTTGCCTTGCAGTGGTCTCTAATGAGATAAAACTGCCAAAGGGGTTGTACATGCATTTTCCTGGATTTTAGACTGCTTAAGATTATCCCACTGGCCCAGGATGCCTCCAAAAATGAGCTGTAAACACAACAGCTCGCTGATGTCTTTGCTCACAACCTCTGTTGGGCATCTCAAGGGTTTGAAGCCTAGAAAGACTGTTCTCTATTTAACTTTTCCATTGTTTGAGGTGTTTTTGCTTTTGACACAACTTTGGGGCTCGAAATGATACCTGTTTAGAAAATCTGTCTTCATGTTCATGTCTCACTGTACAGCAGCCCCTTCCTTCCACCCCCTTCCTCCTTGTTTTGTTGGACAAATGTGACAGTGCCTGCCACAGTTCTGTCCCAAAAAGCCACAACTCCCTACAGGCACTCTGAAATGCCCTGTGCTGCCCCCTTTCACTAAAGCACTGTGCAAGTTGAAGAGGCAGGAAAATAAAAGAGGAAGAAAAGGTGTTTCTTCTTTCCCACCCAGAGTTACTGCTACCGGATCCGCAAAGTCCTGGAGCCCTACAAACCACAGTGGTGCAAGACTCATGAAGACTGGTCCCTCTACTTGTTCTCCCCACAGAATAGGTAAGAAATCCCAGTGGAATGCCAGCCCACCATTCCTGTGGTCATGGAGCAGTGTGCTTCTAGCTAGGCTTCCCTTGAGAAATATCCCTCTCTGGTGCAGGAGCACTGAAAGGTTTAGAAATCCAATTTCTGATTTTTTAGGTAGCTTTTTCTGTCCCATGTAGGCAGAGCTGTGGCATGGTTCACTCCATGCCTGTCTGGGAAGAAGGCTGGTTTAACCAGCAATAAGAGTAGCTGTTATTACATCTTGTTTACTGCATTGCTAATATTGATCAAAGCTTGTGGAGAGACTAGCTCAGCACCTGGGCTGCTGCTGAAGGCTTTTGAGGACGTGCCATCCGGGTGGGAGTCTCTTGCTGACCCAAACAAACATCTGAAGGATATTTTTCTCCCCACCATTTCTTCAGGTTCCGAGTGATGTGCCAGAAAGTCATTGCTCACAAAATGTTTGATCACGTGGTGCTGGTCTTCATATTTCTCAACTGCATCACCATAGCACTGGAGCGACCAGACATAGACCCACACAGCATGGTGAGTCCCTGAGCCCATTTTCTTCCTTGATCTAGCAGGCAGATTGTAGTCTTGTCAAGGCAAGTCCCTGCAAGATGAAAGATGTTTGTTTTCTAACATCTTTAACTCACTTGCCTCTTTTTGTTGCTGTGTTTTACAGGAAAGGATCTTCCTAAGTGTTTCTAATTACATCTTCACTGCAATCTTTGTGGCTGAAATGATGGTTAAGGTAATTACATCTTCATCTCGTGGCCCCAAGTGAGGCCTGGCAAAGACCAGAACGTGACGTAGTTAGGAGCTGGGGGAAGATTTCAATCTCTCTTTTCTCCTGGCTGTAGGTGGTAGCTCTTGGCTTTTTCTCTGGGGAGAACACCTACCTGCAGAGCAGCTGGAACGTCCTGGATGGAGTCCTGGTCTTTGTGTCTATCGTTGACATTATTGTCTCCATGGCATCAGCAGGTGGAGCTAAGATCCTGGGTGTCCTTCGTGTCTTGAGGCTTCTGAGGACCTTGAGACCTCTCCGGTGCGTGGCCAAGTTGGTTTTGTGGTGGTAGATCCAGAAGTTTGAAAAAAAAATGCACATGATCCATCCAGGTCTTCCTAAATAACACAAAAAGCTGAAAGACAGCATGGGTAGAATCATCTCTGGGGAGCTCTTATCTAGTGGAAACCCTCTGAAAACAGTGAAATTAGTTACAATTGATCTTCCCCAGCATGGAAAAGAGTGGGTGGAGTTTGGAGTGAGAGGTGTTAGGACAATGAATGTCTCCTCCATGCTCCATTTCTATCCCCCTTTTAGAAATCAGTCTGGCTCCTTGTTAAGCTGCACAACCTCACAGTTATCCCCAGGCAAAGGGGTCCTGTTGGCTCAGAGAAAATTTGCAATTGAGCAGGTCCTGAGAATAATTTGATAAGCTCCAGTATCTCTGCCTGCTTATCTAACATCTCTGCAGAAGGATTTAACTCTCAGCTAGGAAGAGGGAGGTGCTTTGGGGATCTTAGAAAAGGAATAAGGAGAATTTGTACTTTGTTTGTGATTATGCAGTAACAAAGAGTGTTAATGCTTGGGGGATTTTTACCAGCTCACAGCTCCTGTACTGTTCCCATCCTGCTTGGCAGGAGCCACGAGCCTTTTTTCAGGAAATTTCAGGGGAAATAAGATAGGCACCTCCTGAGACCTGGAGGCTTTCTGATGAAAAGCTGCTTCCTTATGAAGGTAATAGGAAGAAGCAATCTTACTTAGACCCATGACCACTAGAACAACAGCTCTTTGTCTGCTGCTCTGTATTGCCTTATGACAAGGAAATCTGGGAACATTTCTGTCTCCTCTCCTGCTCCCACTCTCTGCTCTGCTGGTGGCATCAGGGTCCCCACTCTCTGGTGGCCACTCTGGGCTACCTGGACAAGCCTTGGCCTGGCAGCACCTCAGGGCACCCATCTAACACACCTAACTAGGAACAGAAACCAGGACATAGGAAATTCCTAAGTAAATGTAGGGGGAGAAAAAGGGAGCTGGTCTTGGAGAATAACTAGGCCAGATCCTATTAATAGAGAAGAATTCCTCATCTCTCATGACAGCTGTAGGGTTACTCCAGGGACCATTCCTAACACTTTGTAGGTGCAGTTCAGCCTGCCAGGTCATTTGCTGCCAGAGGAGACCCTGTGAGGGGCTTTGTCCCTGCAGCATACAGCTCCTCTTTCATCTCTCTTTGGCACCATGAGTGGAGCGAGCTGAAGCCACCTTGCAGGCCTCACACCCTCTCCCTTCTACAGGTCCCTCCTGGAAAAAAACTTTGATGTTCTGCAGTCAAAACAGCCACCTTCACAGGAGAATTTGCTTGGGCCAGTCACACTTCACATGTGCAACACGTTTTTCAGCCCCCTGTGGGAGAGCTGCTCTCCAGGCACTCGTACACGACAGGAAAACTCCAGTTCTCCAGGATACCCAAAAGCTGCTTCAGGCTGTGCTCAGAGCATGCCTGGCCTCTCACAGCAAGCAAGCTGCTCTTTAATGGGATGACCCTTTGGCTTTGGAGCTGTTGAGCACAAGTTCCTGTTACCTAAGAGTCATTTCAGGAACTAATTAGGAAACAAATTGGAGTTACTTTGTTTGAAAAGGTGTCACGGGGCCCGGGGCAGGAGAGGTGGTAGAAAGAGGAGAAGACATTGTCTCTGGTACCACTGTGAAGGTGTTGGCACGTGTTCTGTTAGGAATCAGAGTCCTGCCTGGGGTGTGTCCCTCTGCTTGGATCAGAGAGACCTCAGAGGGGTCAGCTCTCTGGGCTGAGATACAAATAACCCTGTGGGAGGAACCTCTGTGATATTCTGTCCCTAGAGTACTCCCTCCTTACTCTTAGGAGTAAGCAAGAGCCCACCACCCTGCTGACAGGTTAGTTGACACTTATTCAATTCCACTAATGTGTCTGTGAATGTTCTGGTTGTCCTAATAAGTCACTAATTGTCTCTGAGTGCTGCCTGCAGGTGAAGGAGGGTTGGGGTAGCTTTACTGCAGCCCAAGCAGGGGAGGAACAGCAACCACAGGGTAACAGGGCATGCATAAAAATTAAAAGCTTTCTTGTTTTGCCATTTTTTTCCAGAGTCATCAGCAGAGCCCCAGGTCTGAAGCTGGTGGTAGAAACCTTGATCTCCTCCTTGAGGCCTATTGGGAATATTGTTCTCATCTGCTGTGCTTTCTTCATTATCTTTGGGATTTTAGGGGTCCAGGTAGAGTATTTCCCTCCTCACAGCAATCTGTCAGTGACTGCTGCAAAAGAGAAGCTGTTTTTCTCACCACTTGGGGTTTAGGTGGAAGCAAGGAGCTTAAATCTCTCCAAAGGAAGATTTCAGTTAGATGTTAGGAAAGAAGAGCCAAGCCTTAGAAGAAATGCTTTGGGGGGAGAGGAGTTTGAACTTGGCAAACGACTCTACTAGGGGAAAGAGATAAATCAGGGGACAGATTACTCAAAGCTGCTGCTTTTTCATTATTTTTTCTTTTGTTGCTTCTCAAATACAGCTTTTTAAAGGCAAGTTCTACTACTGTGATGGTCCTGATGTAAAAAACATCACTACGAAGAGCGACTGCACCAACGCACACTACAGATGGGTCAGGAGGAAGTACAACTTTGACAATCTGGGACAGGTAAAGTCCTCATTGCAGGGATTTTCTGTACCAGTTTTTAATGGTTGAGCACTTAAAATGTATTCCTCAAGGAGGGTGTGGAACTTCCATCCTAGGAGGTTTCCAAGAACAACATCGGAAGCAGCCCTTACTGGCTAAAAATGGATCAGGTCACCTCTTGATCTCTTGCTGCCAGATTTCCTGGGGTTATACAATCCCTTGTTGAGAGGAGAGTGTTGTTTTAAAGCCCCTGCTTTTACATACAGCCCTTAATGGAAGAGTCTCAACTGTCACTTGTAGTCTCTTGATTTGGAAAAAAAAAATCAGATGCTTTATACTGGCTGAGAAGCAAAACAGACCACAGTAGGAGCTGGGCTATAGTATTGATTTTTAAAATCCCTTGACACTGATATTGATTTTTAATCATCCTTTGGTGAGCAGAAAGCCTGAGGTGTGCCTGACCAAAAATCAGCCTGGTTGTGAGGGAAGAGGGGTGTCAACAACCATAGTCAGCTCACTATCAAGCCAGATACTGAAATAGGTAAAAGCCAGCCACAAAATGTTGACATTCTCCACCAGCTCCAGGCCAGATGATGTGTTATGAGCTGTGGACTGGTTTTGCTAATGAGCATTGTCTGTTGTTAGATTCTTATCTGGGGACTAAAATGCCAGACCAATCTTTTTGGTTTGTTTGTCTCCTTATAGGCTCTCATGTCCTTGTTTGTCCTCTCCTCCAAAGATGGCTGGGTGAACATCATGTACGATGGTCTGGATGCTGTGGGTATTGACCAACAGGTAAGTGTCCTGCAGGGTCCAGATGTGTTCCTCTCAGCAGTCTCACACCTGGGTGACTTGGGAGTTCTTGAAGTCCCAGGAAGGAGCAGAGCTATAGGACCTTCTTGAAGTCCTGGCTGCCCCTTGAGTTGCCAAGGTTTTCCATTCTCCACTGAGCAGCTTTTACAGCGGCTTTGCCTCATGCAGCACACAAACAAGCACTGATGGGGTTTTTAATTAGAATGATAGTATCTGAGGAGAGCTACGTGTGCCATTGCACTGCAGCCTCGTGGAAAGCATGAGAAATATGAGCAAACTCCCACAAGATGGGGAGCAACCAGGAGTGTTGTGAAAGAGACATTAAGTTTGTGTGCTACCTGGCATTTGCAAAGCCTCAGATGAGGAGAACCCCATCGTAGCTCCAGTAACACTTTGGACTTCATTTTCCCCTGCTTCCAAAGAGGTGGTAACAACTGAGAAACACAAACCATGAACCCACATCTCAAAAAAAAAAGCTGGAGCCTGTGTTGAACAGAAATGATCTCACAGTTGGGCTGATGCACATCCCCTGAGGTTTATCTTAAGCTGCGTGAAATGCAGGATTTCATTATGTGGGCATTTAAGCCAACTTAACAGGTTTTACAACAAAAGTGAAGTTCTAGTCAGTGAAAAAGTGAATGAGAGGAAACTGTTCTGGGATAAATCTCCTAACTCCTCCCAGCCTTCTCCTCCTCCCCACAGAGCTGTGCTGGGCTAGAGAATGCCCAATCCCCCGACTGACACATCTTGTCCATGCCGCTTCTCTTCTCTCTTTGTTTTCTTAATTCCTCACCTGCCCAGCCCATCCAGAACCATAACCCTTGGATGCTTCTCTACTTCATCTCCTTCCTGCTCATCGTCAGCTTCTTCGTGCTCAACATGTTCGTGGGGGTGGTGGTGGAGAACTTCCACAAGTGCCGGCAGCACCAGGAGGCGGAGGAGGCGCGGCGGCGGGAGGAGAAGCGCCTGAGGCGCCTGGAGAAAAAGCGCAGGAGTAAGGAGATGTACCTGTCTGGTCGGTAGACTGCCTTACAAACCCAAATCTTTCTGAGCCCTGCCTGCTCCCAAAGCAAGACTTTCGTTTCCCTTTGGTGTTTTTTTTTGTTTGTTTCCATGGGATTCAAGAGGTCGTTTTGCTTCCTGACCTCTTTCGGCGGTACCTTAAGTCTTGGGTGGCCAACGCCTTGGAATTGTCCTCAACGAGCCTGGTGGGAAAGCATTACCTGTTTACTTGGCTGAGGGAGAAAACCTTCCTCCAAGCAGAGTCTTGGAGCACTCTGCAAGGCCAAGGTGTCCCGAGCACCGAGCAGGAGCTCGTGGTGTGGCTGAGGGATGCAGAGAGTAAACAGCTGCAATGCTGCCTGTGTGCCCGAGGGCCAGTCCTCAGGGTGGCCCTGTGGCTTAACGTGCCGCCTGCATCTGGTGGAGGTGGTGGTGGTGGTGGTGGTTTCATTTCTGAAGTCTTTTCTTCAACAAAACACTTGTGATGCTTTTTTAGAGTCCTAGCGCATGGCCCCGCATGCCACGAACATGCTGCATGAGGGCATGGAAAACTCCACAGCCCTGGGGAAGAGGAATGGGGCCCCAGGATGGGGCTGGCTAGAAAATTCTTCTCTGGAAGATGTCCATTACAAGAGATACTTGCCCTGTCACAGGCTGGGAGAGCCCTTCACTGCTGAGCAATGTGCTGGGACTCAGTTTATCCTTGCAAAGAGTCTCCAGGGAAGTACTGGCCGGGTGCAGGGCTGTTAGGGTGCAGCAGGAAACCTTCCTTCAGCTGAAATCTGCTTCTTGGGGGATCTAGTAGGGATGAGGAAACCAGAGCAGAAAAACACCTGAGCTTGTCCTCTTTTCCTGACCCAAACCTTCCCAGGGATTCTCATGTAATAATTCTCACCTCCACTGCTCCCCACCAGGGACAAGCTGCCTGTGGCATCTGCTGGGGATTCCCAGGGAAACCAGGCACACCAACTGCCCAGCAGGTTGTAGAGAGCAGGGATGGCCTGCACAAGGTGCTGGCAAGCATTTTGTAGGGGTGAGTGAGGGAACATGGCTTGGCCACTGTGATCAAAGAGGAGCTTAGTCAGGGATGAGGCTTGAGTGCTTGTGGCCCCGCTTGCCACAGCAGCCCTGTGGCTCTTTGCCTAACCCTGTGCTGCCCTGTGTAACCTCCTGTAAGGACCCAGGATCTCACTGTGACAAATAGCTTGTTGTCTCTCAAGCCATGGGTACCCATTTTCAGCTGGGAAAACTGCAGTGAGAGCAGATAGCCTCTTACCTGCCTCTAAGGACAGGGCAGTCAGAGGCTCTGCTAGTAGAAACCCCAACCAGTTTCCTCCATTCCTCCAGTCAGAAGGCAGTTGTGTCCCTTGCAGCTCCTCTCCTGCTCTTGTGGTCCTCTTTCTTAGAGCCATGGGAGACCACAGCACTAGAAGTTTGCACCACGACAGACTGAGCAGACACCACAGTGAAGGCCAAGCCCTTTTCATGTTAGCTAGCTGGGAGCTAAGTGGCTGGGTTAAAATGAAACCTAAAATCAAACCAACCAGCTGCAAACAGACATTGAGTCTCCTCAGGGATTTAGAAGAGTTCAAATGCAATTTCATTTCCCTGTTCCCATTTTGGTGTTTGAGTTTGAGGTTCCAGCTGGGATTAGAAGTGGAAATCCTGAAGCACAATAAGAAAATCCAGTTTCAGGCTCTCAAGAGTCCTGTTCCTCGTGCAGTATTTCTGCCCCAATATGCTGATCCAGGAAGACATTCAGATAAGTTCAAAGTTTATTAGAAGGAAAACCAAAATACAAGTTATTTACAATTTACATTTATAAAAATATAATTTGCAATTACATTAAGCAGCCTGAGAGAAAATAGTGGGGACAGGTAAGGAGGGAACAGCTTAACCACAGCCAGTTGCTGTTCCTGATTAGTGCATAAATCTTATTACAAGTCTGTGGCTTGCTGCTTAGACTCCAAAAGGAGCCAGTCCCCTCAAAGGGATGGACATGGGTGCACTGTCTCTTTATCCAGCTATTTGGAAGGACAGAGATCTTTCAGAGCACAGACCCAGGCCTTGCACAGATGTGGGTTGTAGCATTTCCCTGAGAGCATGAAGGGAGGAGAGCAGCTTTCTGGAGGGTGAGCAAGTCC